TAATGAGTTATTACTTTACCGCTAATGATCAATGACTAACAGCTAAGCAGCTTCAATCGAATCTAAGGTATTAAATGTGAGGTAACTTTTCAAGGAGATGCAAAAATACACTAAAATCTGACTTGCTTTGAAAAGGACGAAAACAAGAATATGTTCATCATTGGTTTTAACCATTTTATGGAAATTCAGAGTCATCCATTGACAACAAAAATGTAAAGCTGTTTTGATACAAATGCTACAGAGGTAATTAGTAGGAACTAGCCTTGTGTTTTGGTATAAAAGTAAAACCTTCGGGAGTCGGTCCCAGGATCATGCGGCTTATTTCAATCCAATCTGATGCTCGTCCACTACCTAACAATGTTTCTAGTTCGTTGCGTCCACGATAAAGAGGGGGGCGATCGTTGATGCGCTGTGGTAGTCGCTCAAGAAGGCCAACAGGAATGTATCTTAAGTACAATGTTGCAATGATTTCCGCAAATGAACAAGAAAAAATGATGAGGTGTTTGAACAAAGACAAAGACGACCTGCACTGAAATGACAAGAACTCTAAAAGGAAGCGTCTCGTCCTCTCCACGCCAGCATCATCGCTACCCCAGTGGTCTAGCCCATAATTTACGAACCTGATTTTCGTGGATATAGCAAAAATTGAAAAATTGCCGCAAGAGTAAGAGGCTATGCATAAAAAAGCGAAATAAAAGTTCAGTGTGACCTACTTCCTCAACAAATCCAGTCTTTCGTTCGCTGAAATATCCCAAGTCCTACGTTCTTCGATTTCAGTGAAAATCCAAGGTTTAATGAGAGCTCCACGCGCAACCATCACGCCACTGATAGGGTACAGTTCTAATCGCTAGAATACTCAATAAAGCGTAGGTTTCGATTTGACATCAAAAAAGGCACGACTTTTCATTAAAGATAGTTGAAATTTCTTTCGAATTTATAAATATCGCAGAAGTTCCCGATATCAGAAAAACGCATGTTTGGACAAAATGCAAGAAAACAACGTTTAAAATACCAGAATCAGCGAGATAACATCTATTGTGGTGGTATAAGCTAAAGAGCAGAGATAAGAAAAATTTGGGTTCTAACCTGATAGTAATCCTGCCAGCTAAGAACATCGCCGCATACCCATAAAGGTACATCGCCGCAAGCCTCAAGGCACGGAGTCACGAAATCCCAGTTAGCTAGCTTCGTGTAACGTTGTTCCCTGTACAGTGAAATTTTGATCCTACAATCCAATCATGTTTTCTTCCATTCTTACTTGCTGCGCGGATGAAATGAGATCAAATCTGGTCTAGCCGACGCAACCATGGTTCTGATGGTTTCGTCCGCTGTGAGAATACCCTCTCTAAGGCCAGTGCGAAGTTTAACTGTCAAAGGAACATCGCGCATTACTCCTCGCATTGCCGAGATTACTGTAACAAAATCGCCGTACTTGATACTATGATGATCGGAGTAAGATAAAGTTCATCCTTTTCTATCGATACAGCAGCGACATCGAAAATAATAAGACGAAAGGTTAAAATAAGAGTAAAAATGAGCACTCAAAAGATACAAAGTAGAAGATAAGCGTAAAACTCAACAACCTAAACACTTTGATAACTGACCTTCCACCAATTTACTTGGCCGATTAGGCAAAGCGCATCCACCACCCTTTTGATTCACAACGTCTATTGGGCAGCCCATATTTATGTCTATGAAGTCAATCTAAAGTCAGGGAATACTTTCAGAATAAGCTTAATTTTAGTGACTAATTACATTCATTTCATCAACAAGTATTTGCGCTGACTTCGCCATCGTGTCGGGAAATCCTCCAGCCAATTGTACACCAAAGAATTTTTCACTTGGATGTCTCTTCACTAAGGAATACTCTGATGGAGTTCCTAAAATTATGTTAATCGTTCTGCAAATGTTCCTTAAAACAACGATACCTGATAAAAGACTGGTTGCAAGAGCCATTTCACCACAAGTGATTTCAGCACCAAAATCCACGCAGAGGCGACGAAATGGGAGATTACCCTAAACCGAAGTAATCATTCCAACTTCACCTACAAGTTTATGATAAAATGCTGGTTCTAGCAAAGTTGAGACGTTGAAAAAAAAGATTTAAACAATCGAAAAATCAAGAAAACCTACCACAGTAGTAAGAGGAGCTAAAAACTTCTTTCCTTTCAGAGTTTTCATGTCCAACCTCGGCTTTTCGCGCTCCATTGCTCCAGTGTTTCCCTCCTTGAGTGCATTGAGCACCTTAAAGCAATAACTGTAGAACACAATAGAAGAAGGATACGAAGACAAAGATCTATCTCAGTTTAATGTAACCTCTCACCTTGAGCGTTTTATTTCCATTTTTAACTTTTTTGGTTTTATAACTGTTTCGATTTCTCCTACTTCTATACTGTTTCTATTACTCGTATTATCAATTTAACCGGTGGTGTATAGGATACATTTAAAGAAAAAAAATAACTACCTCTTCCGAGCGTTTGAAATTAAACGTCTTTTTCCTAAGTGCAATTTGAATTTGTATCGAAGAACCATTCATCGTTTCTTGATATGGTTGATCAGGTTCCTGAAAACAAGACTCAGTTAAATAGAGCATTCTTATGAAGGGTCTACCTGAAGCACCTTGCTAATCTGATTTCCTTGCGGATCAGTGTGTGCACCGC